AATAATAATAATAATCAGTATGATGTTGTAATTTTCAGGAAGATTAAAAATCTTGAGGGTTGTGACTCACATATAGAGCCCGCACGAGTAGTGAAGGTTCTGCCTCTTCAGAGTCCACTCTATCCATGTATAATAGAAGGGTGAGACTAGAGTGCTTCTCTCTGCTTGTAGTAAACATATGTGGTTAGACAAATGACTGAATACAGTGTGGTGTCTGAGAAATCAGATTTACAAAGGGAGAATAGTACTATGGCCTGAAGTTCGAGTCACAAAACAAAGGAAAAAAATATGGGAGGTGAAGAAGGTTCTGCTGTGATATTTGCATGCAATCAACACTTGAGAAGTTTTGTTTCTTTTTGAACGGTATCTCTAATGTATAATTCAGCCCTAGGGCTCAGTAGAGGTTATTTATTTATTAGTTACATATATATTTATTCACCTTTCTGCCAGTGAGCTGAATACAGTAAAGAGTTCTCCTCGTCCCCATTTTATCATCACAGGAACTCTATGAAGCAAGTTAGTCTGAGTTTGTGTGATCTACCCAAGGTCACCCCAGTGAGTTTCATATAGAAGTGGGGATTTGAGTGAAAGTTTCGCGAGTCTTAGCTCTGCACTCTAACCAATTGCACCCTCCTGGCTGTCAGTGAAGAAGTAAAGCTTGGTTGATTCCCTTTTGGAATTTTATAGTATCTCCCCCGCTCCACTAAAGGCAATGGAAGGGTTAACCTCTCTGATGTGAGAACCAACATCTTAGGGAACCTGAAGACAGTGGGATCAACTTTTAATTAAAGCTCCAGCACAGCAGCCTTCTAGCCCTGTACTTTGGACGTGGCTAGTCCCTTACCGAAAGCAGAAGAAAATGTACCTTGCAGCGGAGGCAGCAGGCAGGAGCCGTGTTCAGTGAAAGTAATTTAATTAGTGTTGATCATGACTCCAAATGATGGTGATTTGATAAGGAATAATTTAGTACTTAACAGCCTTTTACATGCACCAACTCCATGTGGGAAGGTAAAGCAAATTGCACCAAATGAATGTGCCGCGTTTGCCTGCTCCTGTGCCAGTGAGCTGGAAAACTGCTTGTAAAGCAGCCTATCAGGCTCTCTATCCTGCGATGAAATACCCTAGCATTTTTCAACATAGGAACATGATGGCGTGGGAGTTTCCGTGCTCCTAATTTTAAAATTAAAAAGGAGGCATCGTTGTTCATAATAGTTTATCAGCCGGGGAAAAAAACTGAAAGCAGTAGAACTTAAAATAGGAGGGGAACTAGTGTGACATTCTGTACTGGGAGGTGTGGATGGCCACTGTTTTCTGTTGGAAGGCATCTGGATTTGTGGTTTTCAGGCACGGCTTAAAGAAATTTGTGCCCATTCTGAAAATGGCATGTTTTTGAATGTCTGATTCAGTTCTTGGCAACTTTTTTTTTCAGAAGAATTATTGTAATGACATGCTGAAGCCATCCACAAGTTAACATCATCCTACCCATAGTTCAGTTCAGCATTTCATTACAGTCATTCTTCTTAAAAGGAAGTTTCCACACTCAGGTTTGATGCCTGTAGCAGAAAATGTTTCCCACCAGTCATGTTGTGTCAGGAAGCAAAGTGGAAATCGACGGCAGGCTTTTAGAGAGTGGTGCTTAGGAATCATAACACTCATATCTTAGAAGGACAAAGATTAGTTCTTGGCCTTGAAATAAACACACACACATATTCATTTTATAGCATTGAGGAATGGTTGTGTCATCCCTTAAATGAGACATCTGAAAACATTCAAAGTAGTTGTGTTTCTAGTAGGTTGGTATAATATTGCCACCTTCTCTTCCCTTAAACTCTAAGAGGATTTTTAAACCATGCCACTTGGCCTGCTGGTTCAAGTTCTTCCCCTAGGCTAGGATTACATGATGACATTAGTGTAACTTGGAAATTATCAGTAACAAATATGCCTTTTAACTCATTTTTGTTTTTGTTCCTCCAGGGCCAATATAATAGCTGCCCATGATGAAACCAAATACAACATCAATACTTGCCTTTTGAGGGGTTTGTGTGTGTGTGTGTGTGTGTGTGTGTGTGTGTGTGTGTGTGTGTGTGTGTGTGTGTGTGTGTGAGAGAGAGAGAGAGAGAGAGAGAGAGATTTAGCATTTTGCCTACCATCTCTTCCTCTTCACTTTTCAGTTTCAGATAAAACTTCTAAAAGTTAACTTCCCTTGTGATATTTTTTGAAGACCTTTTTCTTGGTGGGCACAGGATGTCTGTCCTGGGTTCTGGGAACAAATAACAAACAAGCAAGCAAACAAAAAGAAGTGAAAATGGGCCAGAGCTTTCTTTTCCCTTGCTAATGGCCTATGCTGCTGTTCTAGAGGGGGAAAGCACTAAAACCAAAAAGGATCCCTGGTGTCGCCAAACTCTACTGGCACCCAGAGACGTTCCTGATAATTTGTGGGGAGGCACTAGATTGTTACTCAAATGATGAAATCAGTCGTAATTTTATTATTTGCCCCACATCAAAGGCAACACTGGAAATATGAGGAGCTTCATGAATAGAATTTGCTTATTTCTGGTAGGTAGAGTTAATATAAGCACTGGATTTGCTTACTCCTGGAAGGTGCCAGTGAATTGATGGATATGTGGTTTTGATGCACCTGTTTCCCCTTTTGAATGTTCTGTGCTTGTAATAACTATTGTGCAGTTGTGTAGGTGGTGGGTTGTCTTTGTAAAAGAGATCTGAAAGCCTGTAGGTATGTGACTAAGCTGCTTGGTTAGTTATCTTTTACAGTATGTGTTTAGGCAAGGGGGAGCAGATGAAAGTGATAACAGTTTTTTTTAAGATATTGGAAATGTTGGGGGATGGTGCAAGGATAAATTGAAGTTCATTCTCTCTCTCTCTCTCTCTTTTTTTTACTGACAAAGTCTTGATTCGTAAGCATTTTTCCTTCCATTATTTCCATGATGCTGGGAATGTATTGCTTAAAACCTACACTTTCTTATAACCTCAAGAAAAGGCACGCAACAAGGAATGCTTTGTGATACCCAGTTTGTTCTCTTTCCTGCTTTTATACTGTCTTGTGCGGCCAATTAGATGTTTAAATTTGGCTCCTGGTCATAGTGTTTGTCAATTTTACCACACCCCTGAGATGCTGACTTGCAGGTTCTGCCATGTTAACTTTACATGCAAACTAGTAGAAGACTGATTTTAAATGTGTAAAATGTCACTTAGGCCAATAATTTCAACCCAGAGATGGCTCCAAGCAGCAGCAGCAACAGCAGATACTTAGGTTTTTGGGTTTTTGGTTAAAGCTTGTATCTGTTATATAATACCAGTCAACATCTTTATAATTTTGTGTCTGGTGTTTTTTAATCATCATCGTTATCTTAGAACTGCAGAGCCGGAAGGGACCCTCTGGATCAATGAGTCCAGCCCATGTCAAGGAGGCACAGTGGGGAATTGAACTCCCAACCTCTGGCTCCACAGCCAGATGCCTAATCCACTGAGCTATCCAACAATTCTATGATAATTCATCCTGATTTTTTAAATCTTGAATTTGTTTAATTCCTTTTGTTTTTTCTTTTGTTGTTCTTCTTCCCAGTGGCTTTCCATGGACTCCCAGTGAAAATCAAGAAGGAACCCCACAGTCCATGTTCTGAACTCAGCTCAGCGTGTAGTCAAGACCAACCGTTCAAATTCAGTTATGGAGAAAAGTGCCTGTACAATGTCAGGTAAAGTAGCCCATAATTTAGTTTGACTATTTTCAAAGGAAACTAGAGAATAACAAAGACATGGTGGCAGCTGGGTTGTATGGTTGATTTTCTTGTTGGAAAATAAGCCTTGGTTTGTGCATAAGGTAGAATGAAGTGTGAGAATCCGGAGGCGGTCGAATGGACTGCACCATTCTAGATGGGGGACTCAAGCTCTGGGAATAAAATCTTTTCTTCCTTTCTTTTTAAACAATGTACGTATATCTAATTTTGAATGAATATTTTATTATTTCCCTCTTCAGCTAGGATAGCATGAAAATGGGTTGGACAGTTTTTCTGTCTTATGTAGTATTTCATGTGTGGTTGACAGTGGTGCTGTCCACTGTACTGCCTCATGATTATATTTATTTAATTTTAAATTATGATTTAAAATGCATGCAACAAAAGAAAGAACCTCACAGAAAAGTATAACCAGCTCTTAGACTGATGGAAAGACATTTAACTGAAAAAATAATGGATGTAGTTACACTCCTATCTTACTTGTCCTGAAATTATTTGAAAGTATCAACATGGCTTTTAATGCCCATTTAAATATCCATGATATTTGCATTCTCTTGAAAGCAGCTTGAATTTTGAAAGGATGGGCATTGGTTGCCCTGAGATAAAGAACTGGGTAAACCTAAGTACTTAAAAAGGCATTATGTGCATTTTAAAAAATATTACATGCATTAGGTTGAATGAGCCTTCTTTTTAGATTGGAATGAGCAACAAATTAGATATTTTGAAAACTTTTGCAGATGACGTGTGTTCAATCATGGGTGATTATTAAAAACACCTATTATTAAGCTTTGCAAATACTATTATCTCTTCAGAAGAAGGAGACTTCTTTTGGGAAAAGAAGGTGGAAAAGTAAATATTTTAAATGGCTTCTAGGATCATTTTTAATTGGTATGATAGCATTATGGTCTTTAATAGCATTTTCCTTCTGAAACTGTTTTGTCAGAACATTTCTGCGTGCATCACTTTTTTCAAAATCTCAGGAGTTATTTAACATTGGTGCTTCATTACTAGGTAGGATGTTTTCTATGAAATAGTCATCAAATGTTTATCCTAGTAGGCAACAATCCTGTTAGGGTAGCAGTAAGAACACTCATCCAACTTTGCTCCATTGTTTAGCCCTTGACCCCAAATGTTGTGAACAAAATCTCAGTAATCAAATAATGTACTTGGCATACAATTGTGTTTTTCCCCACTTCAGCTGATTCCATGTTCTGTGACACACTTGAGCTGTATTATTTTAAAATAAATGTCCACATTTCTATGCACTATTCCTACCAGTGGCAAGGCAATCAGCTTCTGAAGTATATTGGGGTTACTTCCTAGAGTGTCTATAAGTCTTCTGCTTCTTTCTTATTTTTAATGATGGGGCACTGAGAGTGATTTTGTTTGACAGACATGATTTTGTTTGACAGACATGGAATGCTGTTTTCTGAATTTTGTGACAGTGTTCTCTCTTCAAAACAGGTGTTTTGACCTAAAATGTAGGATAAAAATATGCACAGAATACTTCATGGCCCCAAATAGGGTGAAGTTTCACGCATTATTAAAAAAATTACAAATCAATGATACATACATGAACATATGCAAAATCTACACAGACTTAGTCTAATCTATATATCCTCATGGGCAGGGTCTTCCCCAGACATGTTCAACCATTTACTGAGATGAATGAGAAACTTTTAAGGAAGCTGCCTTTAAAATTAGAGCAACTTGTATGAAATTCCAGTGAAAAAGTCAGACATGGGAAATACTTTCGCTTAATATTTCTTAGGGAATTCAAATGTATAAATAAAGGTGTATGATCTCTTGAAAACTGTGATTTTATCTTTTGTGTTCATGTTCCATTTCTTTAATTATTAAAATTCAGCAAGTTCCATTTGCTATTTCCAAAATGTTGAGAATGTTGTTCTTTAAAGTGTCCACTATTTTAATATGATACAATACATTTTATTCATCTTATTTTGAAAAGCAGTTAAAAAAATTCAAGCAAGCGTAGAAAAAATAATTTTATTTAGTGAAGTAGTTGTTATATATAGTTGTTAGGTATGTTAGTCCCTAACTCTCAGTTTGAGGTAGGTAAATAATGATATGCCCCTTTGAATAATGTACAAATATATAAGACCAGCATTACCCATTGGAGCTTTATACCAAATCAATTCACTAACCTTTCTAACTCAAACTTATCTGCATTGCTTGGCAAAAGTTTTTGGGTTTTCAGAGAGGATGGTTGCCCAGTCCTATCTGGACATACTTGGGATAGATGGATGTTTGGATAGATGAACTGATTGATTGATTTGTTTTGGCATGCAAGCATATGTTATTGCCCTCGGTTAAATGGCCATTCTATATCTACATTTATTTAACTGGCAGTGCCTATGATCAGAAGCCACAAGTGGGAATGAGGCCCTCCAACCCACCAACTCCATCAAGCACTCCAGTTTCGCCACTGCATCATGCATCTCCAAACTCGGCCCAGAATCCTAAACCTGACCGGGTTTTTCCTGCTCACATGCCTCCATCCCAGCCCATTCCAGACAACAGCTTTCCTATGGACCACAGGTAAGAGGAAGTTCTTCCTGATTTCTTAGAAGGCAGTTATTTTGGGGGGCATTTTTGAGGGTTTTTTTAGTTGATTTCTCTTGGTGATTAAGGCATCATCACTGACTATATCTGCAGTGGAAAACCCTAGGACTGTTTATGAAGAGCCAACAAGCAAAAAAGAAACAGTGAAATCCAAAAGACCTTGAAGAACACAGTACTCAGCAATACAGAAGCTTCTGTTGTAGCCTTGCTTTTTCTGTGCTGCTGTCTCCCATAACTGAGGATTTAGTGTCTCTTACTGTCTCTGGATCTTGTGACAACTTTTGTTGCGGTGGTAAAAGTAAAGGCTAAAATGCAACCAGAAAAGTCTCTAAGCATTGTGGAAGTATGATGGAGTTTTGGAGGTACCAGATGTTATGAATAAACAACATATTGGTGTTCATTCTGAAGTTCCTTTGTAATGAATATAGACCAATGGGACATAATCTACAAACATTATAAATTAAAATAGAAGTGGGGCAGAAGGACTGTACATAGTGTGCATGCAGCCTGTTTTCTTGGAACCAGTTTTATAAGTAGCAGACTAAAATCTAATATAGGCAGAAATAATTTGCTGTCATGATGAACATGTACTAGATTTTTTTTAAGAAAAGAAGGCTCAAATTCTTTATAGACATTGCCCATAGGCATTACTACTTTACATTTGCATAGTATCCATTGAGAGGGTGTGGGTTTTTTCCCCTCTGAGCTTTTTGAAATGCAGCAGCTTAGGAAAAGGAAGTCAAGCTGCCAAAATAAACTATGTTCAAATAACTTTAGACTGAGTGAAACCACAAAAACTAAAAAACCTGAATTGATGCTTTAGCTACGTCCCTAAATCACCCTGGTTAGTTTTTGTATTCAACGTCTTAAGGCAAAGCATTCATTGATTGAGCTCAATCTATTTTGCTTAAATTTTGCTGTGGCTATGTTTGAATTGTGATTAGAATTGTTTGTGCAAGTCTGATCAAACATTTACTTATTCGGTTTCTGTTCTTACCTGCCAAAAACATGCTCAAGGAGCCCTCCCTACCTTTCTGCCCTTGTACCTCCCCACCGCTTTTCCTACTCCCTGCTATACAATGTGTAGACCCACAAACTGGCATATTTTTCATATTCTTTGCCAACAAACTGTGTGTTGTGTAAGCTGGTGATGCTTCCATTTGTAGTTCTGATGCTTCCATCTGTGGTGGAAGAAAAGACATGCTTGTTCAGGCCAGAAACCTATCTAGTCCAGAATTTTGTACATACAGTGGACAACTAGATGCTTATGAGAAGCCCACAAACCTCTGGGAGGTTTACAAGTTAATTATGCAGACTACACATTCCCCCCCCCCCCACGAGCTGGATACTCATTTTACGGGCCTCAAAATGTTTTATAGATGGCACTATACACCTGTAGGACTAGCAAAAATGTCAGAGGGTAACAGCAATATATGTTGGAAGTGTAAAAAAAATGCAGGAACTTGTTATCATATGTGGTGGACATGCGAAAAAGTCAAAATTATTAGACACAGGTGTGGGAAATAGTGAAAGAAATTACCCAGCAGAAATTGGATATAAAACCTGAAATGGCATTATTGAATGTCATGCCAGGAATTAATGATAAAAAAATGAAGCATTGTCCTATGTATACACTCACAGCAGCTAGATTACTCTAGGCCCAAAAATGGAAAAGCGAAGAGACTCGAACGATAGAAGAGTTGTTAAAGAAGCTATGGGATATAGCAGAACTGGACACATTATCAGAAGCACTGTGGGAACAACCAAGAGACTACGTAAAACAAAGCTGGGAACTAATATACTCTTGGGCCTTGAGGAAGACAGGAGCGTAGGGCAAATTTTTACTATACATGTATATCTATTCAGTACACACTGGAAACCAAACCTGGGAGAGCGGAGGGTTAAGGCTGGAGTCTCTGACTCCAAAGGGAGGAGGGCTTAGTTTAGTAGAGGGTCTAGTTTAGTTTTTTATTCTTTTCCCCCTCTGTTTTTGTTTTTTGTATGTTGAATTTAAACAATAAAAAAGGTTAGAAGGCTGAGTCAACCTTGAGCCAGCTACCTCTAATTGAACCCGAAGTTGTGAGCACAGTTTTGGCTGCAGTACTAATCATTGTGCCACGAGGCTCTGTTATACTGTTTTTGGTACTGGAGGAGGTTCCTGGAAAAGTTGTTTTTTAAATTTATAGTTCCCAGTATCTCCCTGCTAAGCTGGCCATTGGTTATAGGAATAGAAACAAAATAGTGAAGTTGGAAAGGGCCTATTCCTGCAGGAATACAAATCAATTGAATACAATGCAGGAATACAAATGTGGGAATACAAATCAAAATATATGTGCCAGGTGGTTGTCTAAATGTCTTTTGAATGCCTCCAGTGTTGGAACACTCATCACTTCTTGAGGTAATTGATTCCATTGCCATACTGCTCTAACAGTTAGGAGGCTTTTCCTGATATTCAACCAAAATCTGGGTTCCTGTAGCTTGAGCCCATCATTCTGTGTCCTGCACTCTGGGATGATTGAGAAGAGATCCCAGCCCTCTGTACTGTATATCTTTCAAGTATTTGAAAAGTGCTATCATATCTCCCCTCTGTCTTCTTTTCTTGGGACTAAATATGCTCAATTCTTTCAGTCTTTCCTCTTAAGTTTAGGTTTCCAGCCCCCTGATCATCCTTGTTGCCCTTCTCTGAACTTGTTCCAATTTGTCAGCATCCTTGTTGATGTGCGGTGTCCAGACCTGGACACAGAACTCAAGGTGAGGCCCAACCAGTTTGAAATAGAGGGGAACTAGTAGCTCATGAGATTTGGAGACTATATTTCTGTTAATGTACAGTATCCTAAAATAGCATTTTCCTTTTTTTGTAGCCACATCATACTGTTGGCTCATATTCAGCTGGTGATCTATGACAATTCCAAGGTCCTTTCACTCTTAGTATTGCTAAGCTAGGTATCTTCCATCTTTAAACTGTGTGTTTGATTTCTTTTTCCTGGGTGCAGTACTTTGCACTATGCTGGCTGGGGAATTCTGAAAAATGTAGACAATAATCATAGTCATGATTATGATGATAACTTTTCCAAGCTCTAACTGTACCTAGTATCTAGTTACCAAAACTGATAGCCATTCACAGTGATATCCTCCATGAAATTCTCTATGGCCCTTTCATTGACCAGCACTGCAACATCCAAGTATCATTAAGCCTGATCCAGAGAATATGTACCTATTGCCTATACCCTACTTGTGTAATCCTCTGTGGTAGAAATTGCCCATTTCTTTGTCATTCCTTCTGCTACAACCCATTCCTGCTCATTTACTTAAAAGTAAGCCCATTGGATTCAGCAGGCCTTACTTCCAAGAATGAACATAATATTCCATAGCTATATTCTGTAGATCTGATTCTGTAGGTTTCCCCCTTTGCAACCTCCTCAGTGCATTCACGTGACATGTAACATATCTTGCCATTTATTATTCCAGCTTTTCCATAATCATTTAGTGGCAGATGTGTGCCATAGGCCAGGTAGGCTGACCAATGAGGCATAGAAGACAGGAGAACTCCAAACTGTTAGCAAAAATTTTTGCACCACTGGCTTAGCAGACTTCAGCTCTAATAACACAGTTCATAAAAAGCACAAGTATGTGAAATATAAATGGCCCTAACAAGCACCAACAGGAATCAAAGCCACTTGTATAAACACATGGCTTGATTCCATAAAAAGCTTCCAGAGCAAGTATTATTAACTTCCTTTGAGGCTTCATAAGTGAGAATTTTTCTCATTTTAAGTCCACTCCTTGACAGTTTTTAATGATAATTTCTGCTTCTTTTCTTAACTAAAGGGGAAACGGGGAGGGGGGAATGAATACATTGCCAGGAAATGTAGTTCTTTTCTAATGCTACGTTTAAGGCTTTATATTTCTGAATGTGTAGGTGTACTGCAGAGGTATTGCTCCTTTCACCCTGGCATAGAATATTTTTAGCAGTGTGAAATATTTGTTTCCAGCCTGTGTTATTTTTATTCTCTGGGATGAATGATTGCTGCATTACTTTGAATGATTCTGTAAATTTAACCAAATCCAAGTGAAGGAAAAGGAAACACACTTTTAACAATAAATGTTTCTGCTCTCCTCCGTTGCTTGCATAGACACAGGCAGACTTATATAAGACTCACAGTGTATTTTATAAATAATTGCAGCAGCATCAGAAAAGTGTTCTGCCTTGCTTAGCCATCCCATCTTCATTTTCTTCTGTTTACTTGAGCCAAGTTAGTCCATGCAAGTGTTCAGATAATTCATTGTCTCTTCCCTTCCCTTCCCTATGACATTTTGGTGCTGGGGAAAAATTTTATGGCAAATCCTTCCATAAAATCCTTCTCTTTGGGAAACTTCCATTATCTAATTTATCCCAAGTAATGTCTCTTCTGCTGTCTTATAGACTTAAATAGGCAAGGCAAGAAAGATGTCAGTGGCTATTTCTGCTGGAAAAGGTTTGCTTCTTAAAACATGTACCACCACATATTCTACTCCAGGAGATGTGAAAGTCTTTCTCTTCTCTTCTTGCTGCCTTTGTCTTCCCCTTCTCATTTTTTCCGGCTTTGGACTACTACTAACATCCCCCTGTATCTCAAATTTTCAACATCCTAGATTTCGCCGTCAGCTTTCGGAACCTTGCAATGCATTCCCTCCTATGCCTGCCATGCCGAGGGAAGGACGCCCCATGTACCAACGGCAGATGTCTGAGCCAAACATCCCTTTTCCACCACAAGGGTTTAAGCAGGAGTACCACGATCCAGTCTATGAACACAATGCCATGGTTGGCAATTCCGTCGCTCAAAACTTCCCCCCTCCTCTGATGATTAAACAAGAGCCTAGAGATTTTGCATATGACTCAGGTAAGTGGAAGTTATTTTTTTCCCTTTTTTAAACAACATTTTGTTTATTCAACAGGATTGGGTTCATAAATAAGCTTCGTAACAGAGGAAAACCTCTAGATAAATCAGAATGCTGTTTCAAAGTATCATGTCAGATTGAACATGAAAAGGGACTTTATTGTGCCAGAGTCCAAGCCATCAGCTTTGGTATATCAACCAATTTAAAGCTAAAATTAAATAGGAGTGGAATTTTAACTCAGGAAAATTGTAGGCTCCCACTGATGAATGATGGCTCCTATGAAACTACTTCATCCTGACTGGAAATGTAATCCAACATCCTACCTCACACTGTAGCGCCTTATGGACTGTTAATAATCACCCAGACCCAGAGCAAGCCAAACAAATATACAACAAAACATTGAATGCGGCAGGAGCAAACCTTGCTCCTATTGTTTTTTGTAACTTTCCATGAATAAAGGGTTCGGAAATAAGGTCCCAGGACAGTAATACAACACTTCTGTACATTAGAAGACAATAATGGAATGAGCCTCCAGTAGTGTTGCCCCAACAGTGGGATGGTCTCCAGAAAAGAGTAGATGGCACCTCTATTACAGTTGTTTTGGTGTAAGCTCAAAGTGTTTTTGTTTATTAGCTAATTCAGTTAGTTAATTTTGTCTGTGCCTGTTTGCTGCCTCCTGTATCATTGTATGTTTTTGTACTTGTAATGTATTTCTTGTATTTTATTCTATCATATTTGTACACCATTATGATACCACTGAAAGACACTGATACGGCTTTCAGCAAACAGGTGGTGGTGATAATGGCCATTGAACCCTCCAGGTTTGCCCACTCATCCTTTTAGGCGGCAATGTTTTTAATTCTCCCCTCCCACCCTGTGCAAGTGCACACAGAGAGAGCTTATCAGGTCAGAATTGGATCTTCAGAAGCACTCTGGAATGCAGTAGACGGTTGCTCAAAATGCTTAACATTAGAATATGTACTCTAAATATCTCCATATTGGTGTAGTTCTTCATAAACTCAACTTAGATTTATCTGAACATGCAGTTATCCAAAAGTTTGGCTATCCCTCCGGTAGTTTAACGGCAGTTGAAACTGAATCCTGATGCTAGTTTATTAGTAAAATTCACATGACCCTTCAAGACAGCAAAGAGTTCTGGAGTACCTTAAAGGCTAACAAACTTTACTGAACATAAGCTTCATGAATTGCAGCCTTCTTTGTTCAGTGCCATCAGATTGCATCTGTTGAAGTCAGCTACTAGCATTTAGGGTGCCACAAGACCTATTTGCTGCAATTGTCCAGCATGGCTACATCTACCTTGAGTTTTCTCAAGAAAACATGGTAGATGAACTGATTTGTTCAGTGTAAGAAGTAGGCGAAATGTTATCATTTAAATCTTTCAACAAGACTTATTGCCTAGTGTGTTCATAAGATCATTACCCCAGTCTTGAAAGCCTAGTTGGTGCACAGCCCTTAACTTAACTGAAGGCCAGTGCTCTCAGCTACTTGCTAATTGCTCTGGAATAGTTAGTTGGGACTCCAGTCAATAAATCTTGAGCTCCTCCTTCTCAGAATGATAGTCTGTGGGGGAGCTTTCCTGCTAGAAGGGGACTGAACCTGACAAAAGAGGAGGGCAACAAAGAACTCCATCACTCAAATGCTGCTCAAACTCTGGAAAGAGTCTTGTTTAAGCAGAACAGGGCTTCTCACACTGCCACACAGAAACAAAAGAACTGCAGTCTTAGCTACTGCCTCATGATCTTTGCAAATAATGAGACTTTTTTTCAAGCTTCAAGATTAAACTGGGGCTATTGCCTGTTCTTTTACATTTATACACCAGATGCTTTCTCCTCGTACCCTTCACAAAGGTTCTCCTCTGACATATTATGTGAAGTTCTGTTTCCCGCTCCCCTTAAGACTGTTGCTTTGAACTACTGCAGTTGTTGACTCCCCTACAAAATATTCCTGACTATTAGAAATAATATTGCAAATAATGGGTGTAAGGGTTCTTCATTTAGACTTTATCCTTAGAAAGTCTTTCATATCACAATATTTAAATTAAATCCTTGTTTTAATCTTTAACCTTTTTCTTCAATGATGTCAAGTGTCTCCATCCTCCTTTTTAATATTCTGAACAGCTCTGTGACATTGATTAAGCTGTGGATGGTTAAGCCCTTGATCATTCACTAAGCTTCATGACTAAGCTGAACATGCTCTCTCCATTCCTAGTGTGACTCTTCATTTTGTGCACCCCAGTGATTGTCACTTATCTAATGGGTGTCTTCCACACAAGGCTTTTCCAATAGATATGATGACATTCAGTTTGATTTTTTTAAAAATTAAGGGTACAGCCCATTGTGGTATAATTTTATCTGAGCCACACACACACACACAGATTTCACATAGGGCCAAGTGATATCCTGTTTCTCTGCATCATATCAGTCATCATCTGGACTGGAAAAATAAAATGGTATCTTTGGGTGGGTCAATAGATAGGCGCGCGCGCGCGCGCACACACACACACACACACACACACACACACACACACACACACACACACACACACACACTCTGAGTAGAACATTTTATGCCAAGAAGGAAATGAAGAAAGAAATATGATAGTGTAAATGAAGAAAGAAATATGATAGTGTGAGTTGAAACTCTGCCTGGCTGAAACTTTGGCCTTGTTGGCTTTCCCTTATAAGTAATGGGTACCTATTGAGAAAACCTGTGGATAAGAATCAGTTGGACTTTGTGATGCCATAGAGCAGTGGTTCCCAACCTTGAGTCCCCAGGTGTTCTTGAACTAAAATTCCAAGAAGCCTTCACCACTAGTTGTGCTGGCCAGGATTTCTGAGAGTTGTAGTCCAAGAACATATGGGGACCCAAGGTGGGGAACCACTGCCATAGAGGGATAGCCATTCAGATGTCTCTCTTCCTTTTTTTTCTAGTTGGAGATGCAGATATATATGTGGATGGTTAAGCCCTTGATCATTCACTAAGCTTCATGACTAAGCTGAAGGTCATCTGCATCTCCAACTAGAAAAAATATATAAAATTCTCTTTCATTTCTTTCCTAAGTTTTAAGTTCAGGAGATGATCTCTGCTTTTGCAGGAAAACATTTAAGTTCTAAAAATGAAACAGCAGAGCAACTAGTGGCTATGAAAAATTAATTTGTGGCCTCAAAGTACTTTTTACTGACATCAACATTCTTGCATTTAAGTTGACACATATGTACACAACATAAATTGTAGTCAACAACTATAGTTTGATGGTATTTTGTCTTGTTGCCATCAGCTCTGCAGAAACCATCTTTTCCCCTGTCCTTGCTCTTAAAAGTACATTAAATAACCGTTTTGGAGACATAATGCATTTGCCATTGAATCATTGATTTTATTATGCTTATGGATGTTTGAGGATAAGTTGCACTGAAAAAGAGCTTGTATTATGTTACTTTGCTGCCCAGATAAAAATTCAAAAATCTCTTTTGCAACATCATTATACTAAGATGTTCCTTTTGGGATATTTTGAAAGAGACTCATAACTGCTGATTGCTTTTGAGCACTGAATTCTTACCCGTGTTGGAAATCTGGTGAATGAAAACCATTATTATGGTATGATTATAACTCTATTAAAACATGACATTAATTATGACATCGGAAATGGCAGATCAATTAGTTGTAATTGTAATTGCAGGTATGCAATTTCTATTGCAGAATATTGAGATAATGGAACATGGAAAGAAAAAGAAATGTCAACAGAGTAGAAGCTGTTTTATTTTTCCACCCATCCTCGGAGCCATGCTGTGGTGAAAATTAACAAATATAAAATAAGGCAGTGTCTTTGCTTTGACCAATTTGCATTAGAGTAAGAATACAAATATTTTAAGTTACACATAATTCTACATGTTGAAGTATTCTGGATAATTCAGTTGCTTGCACGCTTCATAAGTGAAGGTAGTTTATTGAAAAGGATGATTTAATAATGCATTATTTTTGGGGTGTCTGTAACAACTGTAACTGCAGATTATATAGTTGCCCCATTATGTCTATATGACTAACCTTATATTTTGAGGAAGATTGCTGAGCGACTTATGTACCCATCTCCCTTGGGTTTACCTGGATACTGTCAGTTTTCTAGGCCTCTCGCTTTATGTTCTGGCAGTGGCACTAGGCTTTCTTTTATGACTCCAATATGTTATTTCTGATTAGACAATATTAGGAGAAATTAAGTTCCTTAGGCTTATGTGGTATAGTGGACAGAGTACTGGCCTATGACTTATTGAAATCCGTGCTTGGCCATAGAAAGCTAATTGAGGGTGGCAATGGTAAATCATCCCTTGAACGTCTCCTACACATTAAAATCTCTAGTAGGCTCACCAGAAGGGCATGACCTGACAGCACATAATACCAGCAAGGTTGGCTGATGATGACTTACTGAAATTCACAGTGATATGTGGCAGCATTTCATGGAACTTGTTTCAACTTGGCCTTTTTTCCCCCCAACCAAGGTTCCAGAGGTTGATGACATGCTGCTGTAAACTTATTCCTGGTTTCTTCTAATGGTGCTCAAGTAAATGTTATGATCACCACTTCTTCAGATGTAGGGGGATTAGTTTAAGAAGTAACCAAAAGGTTACTCATCTTTTAATGAGACAGTAATGGTGAATCAGACCCTTGGATCATTCTGGATCTGTTTCTTCACCAAAATCCTATTTTGTAGCAATGACCAAGAGTGTATTTAGTTAGGCTTGTGATTCCTGTGATGGAGTTCTAGAAGGATTTTTGAGATTCTACCTGTTCAAGCAAGGAGTGCGGCAAGCCTTCTCCACTGAAGTTGTGCAAAGACAGCTCATTCTTTTCCAATATCAAAACTCCACGGGGGGTGGGGAGTAATCTCAAACGAGTTCAGGGGAAATTATTGCTGGCTGGGTATGTTTCATGTTGTGGTGGCTTTTTCCTATTCTTTTTAAATGGTTAGATTTCAGACTGCAATTTGACT